GACTTTGCAGTTGTCTCTGGTGTGAAGCAAGGCTGTGTCTTAGGTCCTGCCCTGTTTAATAGTTATCTTCATGCCATGATGTCTTACGCTTTTGGTGCGGCTTGTGCTTAAGTATTAGAAACCCCCTCCCGCCTCTGCTACCTTGGGAGTGTGATGTCGACTGACTAGCAGCTTCACAGTAAGCTGCGTATCCGCGTGTCGAAGGCAGCCGCGTCATTCGGAAAGCTAGAGTACCGAGTGTGGAACAACCATCAGCTTACCATTGGCACGAAGCTGCTGGTGTACAAATCCATGGTGCTGTCCATTCTTTTATACGGCAGTGAAACGTGGTTAATGTACCGATGGGATGTGATATATCTCGAGCGGTTCCATCAACAGTGCTTGCGACGGATTTTGCGCATCGGCTGGTGCGACCGAGTTGCGGACACGGAAGTGTTGCGTCGAAGTGGAATGTATACAGTGGACTGCATACTTTTGCTGAGATATCTAAGGTGGCTCGGTCATGTGGACCGTATGGATTCGACGCGGATACCGAAGCAGCTATTATATGGTCAGCTGAGTGTTGGGAAGTGGCATGTGGGGAAACCAAAGTTACGTTACCAGGACATGATCAAAGTGAGCCTCTTACGTCATAATCTTGATTGCAGGTCATGGGAATCGAAGGCGGTTGATCGGCGTGCATGGCGCGATCTGATCACGAAGGTCGTTGCCGAGGTGCAAGAGAAAGCCCTCATGCAGACAGAGCAAGGCGGCAATTGCGGAAGCGACCCAGGCCGATGGGTTGTACCCGATCGACGTCGAGCGCATGGTGCTGTAGCACATGCGGTCGCGAGTGCCTTAGTCAGGCAGGCTTAGTGAGCCATGAGCGAGGCCACTCGGGACCACTACCGAAGCAACGACGTGTCCTGCAGAGAACGTAGACAGAACCGGCGCAGCGTTTGTAGTTTCTCTGCATTCGATTTACTAAGCGCGTGCTTGCATGCTGGGTCTCTTATTTCAGGTGGTGGCTTTGCTATATTGTCCTAATGCTTTTTATCTCATATTAATATCTACTGTCTATCTTCTATACTTGCACACGTCGCTGAAGCTAATTGTAGTTAACTTCGATAACATTTTCGCGGTTGTGGCATTTTCTTAAGATATATTTTCTGACGTATTGAACCTTTCGCGGATTTTTTGCAACCAATTTATTTCATACGCTCATTTAGTGAAGAGTTACCTCGCCGTATCTGTATGCATTATTCGATTTAGTTTATTTGATATCGTCGTTTCAAGTGATTGGCTGTTGCTTGATATCCCAGGAGTGGCTGCGCTTGATGTGCATGTTGACAAGGTGCCTACCTGTCTATTACCCACTACCTCGTCCATACTGTCTCCAGGAGACAGTTGGTCGTTGCTGGAGGGGACGGGTGCACGGTCCTTGTGGCCGTGTTAGGCTCGAAGAGTGGTTTCATGCACTCAGTGTGGAGCGGACTACGGTCCAGCCACCGCCTTGTGTGCGCTTGATTCCCCAAATACAGGGTGCTTGTGTTTGGCTGTGAAGGAGTGTGGGCCGGCTCTGTTGATGAAACGTGGCTTCCATCCGCATGCCTCCCGGTCTTATTCCTACGGGTTTACACTGGATATTGGTTGTAGGTGTGGTGCAGCGCAAGCCAGCCATGGTCTCTCTGTAGGCGCAGGCGTCCTGTGGCTGACCACGGTGACAGGCAAATCCGAAACCGGATGCCGCTACCTATATATATATATATATATATATATATATATATATATATATATATATATATATATATATATATATATATATATATATATATATATATGATTTGGCGGCGTCCGTATCCGGATTTGCCTGTCACTGTGACGTCCATGGGGACAGTCACAGGACGCCTGCGCCTACAAAGGGGACCATGGGTGGCTTGCGCTGCACCACCCATAGTTCCACCCACACACCCCATATCCGGTGTAAACCCGAAGGAATAAGACCGGGAGGCATGCGGATGGGAGCCACGTTTCATCAACGGAGCCGGCCCACACTCCTTCAACAAGCAGAACGGAAGCATTCCGGCCTACTTGGGAAATCATACACACCAGACGTACACGAGGCGGTGGCTGGACCGTAGCCCGTTCCACACAGGTTGCATGGAACCACTCTTTGAGCCTAGCACCGTCACGAGGACGTTGCACTCCGTCCCCTCCAGCGACGACCAACTGTCTCCTGGAGCCAGTATGGACGAGGTAGTGGGTAATAGACAGGTAGGCACCTTGTCAACATTCACATCAAGCGCATCCACACCGGGGAGCTCAAGCAATATCTATTTCTGAAATGCAAGATTACTCAGCACGCAAGCAAACGTACCACATACGATGCCTTATTGGCCTGGATTAGTGAATCGAATGGGAGCGTACGTATCATGCTTCTATTCCGCGTGAAATAGTATCTTCTCCTGCACCTGAGCATCCGCCCTTATGATCAGTCCACGGAGTTCGCATCGATCAAATTTGCCTTGCATTCGCAACACCTGAAATCAACATGAGTTTGTCATAAACTCACCTTCTTCATGTTCTGGTACGGTTATTTCCGGTTTGCTCGATTGCCGTTTCCCTGCACTAAGTGAACCGTACAAAAGCGGTATGAGTATCCTCGTGGAATTCATTCGGTATACATATATACATAGATTGGCGTCATCTGTGTCCAATGGCAGTTCGAATACAACATATGCACATGTGTTTCCACGGACTTCATTATTAACTGTCACAAACTGGACAGAGACACATTAGTCCGCATGAACAAGCATGTATGAACAAACATGTATGGGTTTCATTTGGAGGTCAGGCTAAGAGTTACTTGCACAGGCATGAGATTAAGTACCCAATACGTACTGTTGGTGTTCGCCTCTTACGGCCTATTTGGCACGACAACTACCATAGTACTACAACAACTAAGTCCCACTGGCCACTGTCAAACTTGCGGTTTTCCAAACAATGTTCGCACTGTGTTGCAAATATCCAAGATGTAGCATGGTTGTCATCCAAGTACTCATCCGTTTATACATACCGTTGTGTATCCTGTTGTGGCTATAAACTACTTGGTTACGATCTACTTTAGTACGCCTGGGGTGCAGCTATTCGGTGCTCGTAAAGTGAACAAATTTTCCCTATGCGCTGATTCCTTTCCGATGTAATTTACTAAGACACTTACGTACCATTTCCGTTGGCATTACCTTTTTCTTAGTCTACCCAGAAGATTGACCCCGTCTAAGACAACTTCTAGTAGGTGCCTCTTAGACAGATGCAATAATGCTACTGCGTTGCACCAAGTCCCTACTTCATCATTCCACATAGCAATTGTACCCAAGCTATACTTATATTAGCAATGGAATAAGGATGACACACAAGGATGACAGACCGTGTGAGTAGGCAACTATGTTTGTTTGTAGGGAAATAGTGCGCTGAAGTCAACTTATTTTCATAAGCTCAGCTAAGATGAGGTTGTCAGATGAAGAACGGGAATTATAGCTCTAATCATTCTAACAGATTTAATGTGAAACCTAGCATAACACATCAACAGCAGCATGTTAATCGCTAGTCAATTACTTGCCGGGACTGTTCACTTTCCACGGATGTTCCAGAGCGATTGATATTTGAATGCATGATCCAACTTGAACATGTCTATCGCATTGCCAATTTGCCACCAAATCGAGGAAGCATTGCTTTTCCCTACTGTATTAGGTAAAGGGTTCCTAGGCTATGGTAATGTACGGTAAAATAAGGTAACATGGTATAAGTAAGTAAGTAAGTCAGTGTAGCCCAACTGCGATGAAGAAGCATGGTGTATGCAACATCAAACCTCAGCATAGGGGCATTCGTATAGAGGCATCTGTGTTCGGATTACCAGTATGGCAAATATAGTACGCGCCTGTGTCTTTGCAGAAACTATGCGTGGTTGTCATTGCACTGCAACATTTGATGAATTAGTACATTATCAGTGCAAAAGTCCTCCCGTCCGATTCCATTCTGACTCACCTCGCTCCATCACGTTTGGCCGGTTTAACGTGTACCGTCCTTTCTCAGTTGCGTACCACCAAGTGTCACATGTCAGTCCGTGATGCTCGATCTAACAATCCACCTGTTCGGCATAACCCCATCGTGGCCTCGTTGATGACTGGCCAGACCAGCTGGGCTAAAGCACACACGGCCACATGCACTACAGCTCCATGTTGCAGTAGCCGAAGAATTAAAGTCCGACGGCAGATGATGTTTGCGTGCTTCACGTTTAATTTCTCGATGCACCATCTGCCTTTCTTGCGATTGGGCAACGGTACAGGTGATGAGATCACGCCAGATGCGGCGATTTGTTGCCAACTCCTCCCAAATATTTAGGTCAATACCTAATCTGGACAAACTAACGTTGATATTATCTTGGTAACTCAACTTGAGTTTGTCAGCATTCCGGCCACCTTCGATCAGTTGCCCGTACAGCAATTGCTTCGAGATTCTCGTTGCATCCATACGGCGCACATGTCCAAGCCACCGGAGATGTCGCAGCAGTAGCATGTAGTCTATGGTGTACACTTCGCTCCAGCGGATCACATCAGTGTCTGGCACATTGTCCCACCATTGTATGTGCAGAATCCGGCGAAGGCACTGTTGATGGAATCGTTCCAAAAACCGGATATCCTTTCTGTACAGTGTCCAAGTTTCCGATCCATAGATAAGGACTGAGAGAACCAGCACCTTGGTTCTAACAGTGAGATGATGGTTCCTCCACACGCGATGTTCCATATATATACATATATATATATATATTTATATATATATTTATATATATATTTATATATATATATATATATATATATATATATATATATATGCAAACGAGCAAAATGCGCGGACCCACTTTTGTCCAGCTGCGTTCGCGCGTGGTATTTTTAATTATCATACCTTTCTGTATCGCTCCTTGCTTGTTCTTATTTTTACGCTGTTCTTTTTATGCGATGCAGGTTATTCGTCGCTACATCGGTGACTTTACCGCAGCGGATCCGCGGGCACCTGATATTCCTGGTTCTCCTGAAACGCGATCGCCAGAAGCATCGTCTGACTTTGAAGAAAAGCAGTTAGAACCTGTTTGGTTTGAGGTAATTATCTCTTCACCCTTATTCCATGTTTCTTATATATTCACTATTTACCCCCGTTTTTAACACACACTCTTGATTGATGTACATGTTTACCCAATATTTGGACAGTCGACACCATCTTTGGGTGTCCAGTTGTTTGGAAACTTAGTCGGTTCATAGTTAATATAAAAATACTAGGTGAGCAATCAAAATGATATTTATTCATCTCAGTTATTTATTGTTCACACGGTTCTTCTGGAGCACAAATCCTAAATCGGAGCTAAACATAGCTGTTTTCTCTGATTGTTAGAATGGGTTCAGTCGTGTCTCGGAAACAGTACAATACTTTACTCGGTCAAACAGTCAAAGGATTGCAATACCGAGGAGGTGTTTGCGTATCCGGTAGCACATGATAAAACTGCCGCCTGGACGTAGGCTTCGCAATAGAATCCGTCCCTGTTCTCCGCGTGTGCGACACTGCCATACTGAATGGGCGTGTCCGAAGTGTTGTCTACAGATGTTAGTTTTCAGATGTCAGCCCATATGTATGACGAAAACTGCTCATCATCCTGTAAAGACCTTAAGTCAGTATGCTGTCATTTAAGGCATCAATTTAATTCCATGCTTTCATTAGAAAAGGAGCTTATAGCCTTTTTGTTCATAACACAGGAATAATGTGTGCGTACAGGCGCAAACATATGTGGATTGACTTAGTCTGATTTCACTTGTTAGAGCAGCCATTCTCAACGGGAGCCATAGAGAATTCCCGGGGGTGGGCCTGGGATGAGTAAATTTTTAGGAAGGTATAGGAGCTATATGGGGCCTTGTCGTGAAAAGTGGTTTGTGATAACACAAATAACAAAATCCATTTCAAAAATTTCTAATAGCTTCTCTCCGCGCACTAATCTACTCTGGTAACTACCGGTCAGTGAAATGAATTACGCGCGCTGCTGCTTCTTACGAAGGTGTGAAAGCCATACCGGGCAAACTTTTTATTGCGGAGCTGCCACACTGAACCAAAAGAGCTTTACTCTGGACACGGATGCATCTACTATGCAAACTGCCGTGATCCTAGTGAGCTCTCATCAGGACTCTGCGGTAGTTACCGCACAAACGGAGTTTTCCTCAGGACCCTACCACTTTGTGAGATCTCATGTGCCGGTCAGTCTTTCTTTCTCGTTGGGTCTCAGTACGGTAGCGCAAGGTTGCGCGCTTTTTGTCTCCAGTCTCAGTTCGCGTGTACGTCTGGCGGCTAGGTCACATTAGCCCGCAGCGTTTCTGAATTCCAGTGGCTACTCTGCGCGCGTGGCGTAATATCTCTAAAGAACGTTCGTTCGTTCTAACTAAGTCGAAACAGCTAGGACGCGTTATAACGCTTTCTTAACATTCAGTTCAGCTGACGTTTTCAAATTAGCGAGCAGTTTTATCAACTTACGTTATACTTTCGGACATCCGGTTTCTTTAGTGAGGACATTTAACATAATTTGTACACAAGGATACTTCTCATAATACTCATGGTAATCAAATGCACTACCAGCACGCATTGGGTTCTATGTTTGGCAATAGCCAATGTACGTTATTAATTTCATTGTTGACTCTCCCATAACGGTTTCTTGAACTGTCCGGCATTCTCTTCCGTGTTTGTCTCTTCTGCCCTTCATTTTACTTGTTGTCACCGACTGCTATCACTTTCCTGTAATGCATGTGTGTCCAGTGAGCATTGTCATTTTCTTAGTTACATTGTTGTCAAGACGTATTCTTCAGCCCTTTTAGCTATCCACGTCATTTTCAAAGTCGTTCTCATAACAGTGTTTCTACACTTTTACATGTTGACCTGGTAGCCACCAACAGATGTTACAAGTATGCTTACCAAATGTCATCTTCCAATCTCACCGCCAAGCAAGAATACATTTAACGCCACCAATCCTTCACACTATCTGCGTGTTTCACTTTGTCGAATGATGTTACTTACTGTCCATGATGTAACTGAGTAGGAGAACTGAAACAAAAGCAATAGATACAGAATACATATTAGCAATTTACGATGATATATTTCAGAAACGAGCTCATCGGTCACGAAGTAGTGTCGGCTGTATTCCGTGGAATTTATCGCATCATCTCAAAATTCCACTCTATCTATATGTTTAATTTGGCAATCTACTCTTTCAAATGAAAGTATGAGACCAAGTAAATTGAAATATCATTTAATAGTGTTCATATGGACGAGGGCGGAAAGTTTGTGACATTTTTCAGAAAGCTGCGGGATATTATCGAAAATAGACCAACTTTGAAGACCATGGTTTCTGACATGGCAAAAATTTGACGGATGGATTTACGGCCTTTTATCAAACTAGCAAGTTGATTGTCAAACATTGCAGCTCACATAATGTTGGATAAAATATTATCTTGCCTTCGGTATCAATAATACTGTCTAACCAGATGAATATAAATCCACAAGAAGCAGTTCAAGCCATACCGCTCAGCAACTCAACTACATCGAGTCGAATAGCTGAAATGGCTCAGGACATAGAGAAAGTACCTTGTTTACTTCGCTACATTCCAGAAAATTTTCGTTACAATTAGATGAACCTACTGACAACAACGCTCTTCTTGCGGCATATGTCCGATTCTTCAATCATAACGAATTAATCGAAGGGATGATGTTTGTTAAGAGAATTAAAACTCAGATGAACGGCCAGTACATATTTGAGGTAGTCAATGGCTATCGGACTGAAAACTACATTCCAATACAGAATATAGTTGCTTGATGCTGCCGCAATGCTCGGAAGATATAAAAGATTTATTGCCCATCCAAACATTTTCGCTCTTCTATTCATAAAATTCACTGTGATTATCGAGAGCACCTGGTGGCTAAGAATTTACTAGGACGCTTAAACTATCCACTGTCAACTGTTACAACAGTAGTCAATACTATCAGATCGTGCCCTTTTCAAGATCGTCTTTTACAGCAGTTTTATGAGGAGAACGGTGAAGATTTCCATGCTCTACTCTTACATGCAAAGTTAGATGGCTCTCCAAGGGCAACTGCTTTCATCGTTCTGGTGCGCTCTGCGACACTATCACCACATTCCTTTCTGAAACTGATCATGAAAGAGAACTGTTGACATCCAGACCAGACATGTTTTATCTGGCTGGAAGATAACTTTTTAAAAAAAAATCCTTCAAAGCAAGTTGACTGACCTCATCTCGAGCAAAGAAGCCATTATCGCTCAAAACGTTGGGAATTTTCACACTTCCCAATTCTCGCTACAGTCATGAAGAAGCTGAAGGATGCAGACTTGATTTTTTATGCCAGTCATTTATAACAACCCCGAAAAAATGAACGACAAATTTAATGGCGCGATTGACATGAAAATCTCACTTTGGATTTTAGATCCATCTGATGTACAGCCCTGTAATGTTGAAGTTAAAAACCGGGAAATCTCATGGTGCTTCAAATTGACACGCCAGCAGAATCCAAATTCACGCCATATAAAAAGGTTTGTTGGATAAGGACTGTTACCCTTAACGGATATCCCAGACTGTGGGACATAGCTGAAATATATTTTTTCTTACTTTTCCATCCACATACTTTTTGAATGTGGATTCAGCAGAGTGGTTTCTCTAACAAAAATTAGAAATTGACTGGACAGCACAGCAAGAGGATATATTGCGACTCGTTGTTATTTCTGGAGACGGGCATAAACAAGTTTGTTCGGTGATATCAGGCTGAAGGCTGGTGTTAATATTTAAACAGAAAAATCGCTAAGATGTTACCATACAGCTTACTCTTATCACATGCTTTACCGTTAGAAGCTGACAATAATTGAAGGCAATTCTAACTATTAATGGTGACTTTTGTGTAACTACAGACAAGCGGCTTGATGATGACGCACAACGAATGTTAACTTGAGGCTGTGTAAGTTCGAAAATAACGTTTATAAGAGAAAGAGTCGGGATTCCAACATTAAAACTATGGCCATTATAGCAAAATATGCCCGTATGATCACTGGAAATCTCCGATTTTCGTCTGGTAGGCGTTGCGGATTGCTAAAATTTCGCTGATCATGGGTGAGAGGCCATGAGAAATGGAAAGGATCAAAAGGGAGCCACAACTGCCTGAAGGTTGAGAATGTCTGTGTTAGAGCACGGTAGTGCGATTATATCAGTCTCAATCACCGACGCCACCAAGATAACGAGGAAAACAATAACAATCGATGTAATTGCACCCAAAATTCTCAATCCAAATCCATCTGGAAGGAGGTCCAAAAATGGAGCAATGAATTTAACACGCATAATATAGCAATTGCTTCACATGCCTCATATTTAAGGGTGCAAGCAAAAGGTCACTGTAACGAGAAGTTTGTAACGCATATGTTTCGCATATGCACACATTCTGTTTACCTTGTGCGCTGTCCAACTAATCTGGGTTTAAATAATGTAATGCCGGTGGTGTAATTCCTCATCAAGTTGACTTCTGAATTCCATTAACCTGGGACCAGAGAATTTCACGACTGGGATACAAGAATGGAGAAAACCTTCCGATGGCTTTCTAACCGCCCATACTGTGTAGCCAACTTCAAATGGTAGACTCAGTGAGGTGTTTTGTATAGGTTTCCAAAAGTGTAGTTATGGATGCTTAGGGCCCCTGCGGATCTGATGCACAATTTACCCACTCTTCGTTGTGGGGTCCCAGGAGTGGTGAGGTCATGTTTATCCAGTGTTGTTAGACTTAACCAGTGCATTCTACCTGTAGCGTTAAGTAATTGTTCAGCATTTGCGAGAAGACGACACGAATGTAGAGTGCGCGGTTGGCGACAAAGGAATAAGGTCATGTCAAACTGAGACATTACCTTCGCGACCTGCTAGTGTTGGATGACGACGCTAACCACTAACTTGGCCAATTTCAAACACTCATGTCATCAGGATGTTTTGTGCTTCTGCCGTTCGATCGCATTCCCCTTGCCAACCTAATTCGGAAGAATTTCCTCTTCCAGTTACCATAGCGCACACGTGTGCATAAACCCACTTGATCCAGATTGATAATTGCCATTTAGTGTCCCGGACACCATCTATCTCCACATATGAGTTTCTGCACTCCATAGAAACACAAGCGCTCGTTTCAAATTCCTGAGCCGTACAAGAACATTTGGTATCTGAAGCAAACGCCGAAGCGGGGACCTTTGTGACGAGTGATCAATCTCAGCGTTCGACCGCCAAGTAAACACGCCATCTGAAATTTTGTTCGCCTACCTGCTGGGTCGCTTTGCTTACACTCTAGAACGGCTCTGAGCGATCGACACAATGGCATAACTCCCCGTGCAACACCCTGTGACGTATCGTGTCGTGTAGCGAACGCGCCAACTTCAGCGCCGGCTAACTGAGTGTGCAGCTTGATATCCAAACTGCTAGGAACACTAACCGTGGGGCACTCATACGCTCCTACATCAACCCCAGAGGCACTAATGTACAAGGATATATTAGTGGAATTCGCTGCATCGGTCGAGCAAAATAAGCCGCGCCTAATATTATCGAAAAGAGGGGAGTCTTTGACTTAACTTCATGGAGAGCAATTATTATATCAGCAATATACGTTATAAATAACTTATCCCTTTTCATCCAAAATGAACTCAGCTCACACTGGGTTAGCTGAAGTTTTACAACGGCAGACCATTGGTTCCCTGGTTTTGCGCAGCACGTGTGCACATCACACTATACCTCTTCTCAATTTGTTGCATCCTTCCTCCAAATATTTGCATCGGTCATGCTTGAAGCTGCATCGCGTGCGTCATGTGACACGTTGCACGTGTGCACTCGTATGAGCCATATTCATGGACTGTGTTCGCGACGTGAGACCACGCTATGCATACATTCATATATCTACATATGTGACAACCCTATTGTTCCTCTGACATAACTGACCATATTTTGTACTCTTAACATGATCATGCCTGTGCAGACGTGCCTCGCTTAGTCGAGAATAAACCTTTTATTTATTTGTTTAGTCGGCTTGCCATCGACTGCACCGGTACAGTGATGTTAACTCCATAGGCACGCCCAGTTGAGTGGAATCATGCGGTTAGTGCAACAGCTTGCTTTGTTCCGAATGTCACAAAAAGACATTCATACGGGGCACCCGGCGGAGGTGAAGCGAATAATACTTAACACTTATGAAGTGGGACGCAACTGGAAGTATGTTGCACATATACTGAACGTAAATCTGATTACCTGCCTCAGTTGGATAAAAAGATTGGAACCAACCGGACAAACGGAAAAGCGTGTTGGGGGACGCCGAAGGTCTCTGAGAGACAGTCAGATTGATTGCCTGGTAGAATGAGTGTCAAAAGAACCTACGGTCACTCTACAAACACCACGTCCGGTTGAAGGCAGGGTTAAACATTGAGGTAAGCGTGAGCACAATTGCACGATACTTGGGTGGACGGCTAGTTACCATGAAGTTTCGAGCAGCTCCGGAATAGGCCAACATACATGAGAACAAGATGCAGAGAAAGCCTACGTTTTGGCAGTGCTACAATCTGAGGCCGAAGGGAGACAAGCCGTCTGGATAGATGAAACCAATTTCCATCTCTTTTGTTCTCGCACCATGGGGCGTTCACCGCGTAGAACTTCTGCGCAATATACAGTGCCCAACAGTCAAAACCAAAACGTGCATCTGATTGGAGCATTAGCGAGCGATGGATTAATGGACTATACTATCGTGAGAGGAAGCTTCAATAAAAAAGGTGCGCGGCTTGGTTGCATCGATTGCTGGAAGCCAGAGGTTCGACTTTTATCGAAAACTGCCTCCTGATCTGTGATAACTCGCCATACCACACGGAGTTGGAACGCGTATTCCAGGAGGAAACGTTCCGTTCGGGCAGCATCCTGCGTCTGGCGCTATTTTCATCACTGAATCCTGTTGAGGGAATCTGGGGCGTAATAAAGCGTTTTTGAAGCAATCCATGAGAATGAAATATTCCGAGATGCTTCAGGGCGATCCTGAGGATGTACCGTGCAAGAGCGAGTGGGGAATGCGCTTCTTGGAACGAGTTTTGTCCGAGGCACAAACCTGCATTACGCCCCAGCACTGCCAACAAATGTCGATCATGTAAGAAGGAATTACGCTCCTGCTATGCATTGCATGGATTTGTGAATCTTTTTGCTGACATAAATGTAGATGATTTGACAGGGTATCATCACTCTTATGTATCACTATTTCATAGGTTCAACATTCAGACTAAATGTTGGGGCACGCAGTTTGTGCATGCTTCCGGTGTGACGTTGCGAGACAACCATAGGGTATCCTTATAGTTCAAAAGAGTCGGGACGGCAACTGCAGTGGTGCTAGTGGTGAGAAATCTGAATGTCTGTCAATAAGTGGTATGTCATTACAAAATGCGGCATGTAAACGCATTGCCATGAAGGCTGACCACGCGCATACAGAACCTTACGTCTAAGGTTAGTGCGACAGGTAATCAAGTTTACATTCAGTATGTGTGCAACATGCTTCCAGTTGCATCCCACTTCATAAGTGTTAAGTATTATTCGCTTCACCTCCGCCGGGTGCCCCGTATGAATGTCTTTTTGTGACATTCGGAACAAAGCAAGCTGTTGCACTAACCACACGATTCCACTCAACTTGGCGTGCCTATGGAGTTAACATCACCGCTGTGTTAGTCACCGTACCAGTGCAGTCGGTGGCAGAGCGACCACGTGATCTCACGTCGCGAACGCAGCCCATGGATATGGCTCATACGAGTGCACACGTGCAACGTGTCACATGACGCACGCGATGCAGCTTCAAGCGTGACGGATGCAAATATTTGGAGGAAGGATGCAACGAATTGAGAAAAGGTGTAATCGACATTTCACCGGTACTATCAGACATGAGTGATTATACCTTTTCGGAAGCAAGCCAGTCCTTAACGGAATCAAGCTCCTCCTTAAGAATATTCAACGCAATTCATAACCACATCAAGCTGAATCCATCGTCTTGACCAATTGCAAATCAGTACAAGTGTACTCAGGACGTCTGCATCGGTTGGTGCAGCGCTCAGCCAACAAACCACGTGAGGCACAGTGAACGCGAAAACAACACGTGAGCTCATTCACTGTAGGATGGGTGCGGACTAGTACGCGGCATCTATGGACGGTTGAGGAAGTGCTGTAACTTCCACCCACTCACTTACGCGGCATCAAGACACACAACGCAGAAGTGGGCGGCCATCCGCGTGCTCACTGTTACGCGCAGACGACGAGACATGAAATCTACTCTACAACGAGACAGTATCGATTGCACTGGGTAGGGTGAAACACCGTTTGAATGAAGAGATTAACCTAGGGAGTGACCGAAAATTAAGTTGGTTGAGACAACCGGCAGTGACATTGCGCGGTATGTTGTTCTAGCTCGGGTTTCAGTCGGAAGTAGGCACTGGAGAACATGATGTTATCATTAGATCGCCAATGTCCACTATGTTGTACATAGTACTGGCAAACTCCAGTAAATGGCCAAAAGTTGTTGGTATCAAGTGGATGGCACATTTTGAACACAAAAGTGGATAAGAAAAGCTAGTTTGTGAGGAATCGGAAATCGCCCACCATAGAGTAGCACATCGCCATTCCTTGACTGCTCAGTTTGCAAGAATGATTAGCTCCCGAACCGATATATCGTCAACCGACGGACACAGATGGGACACAGTACTACAATTCCGATCTCTGTGTTTCACAGATAAGGCCATGTGCACAGAGAAGGAAGTAGACAGTAAGATAATTCCTGGTTAGTGGACACCCGAAACCGGTAGTGAAAGCCACGTTTCACAATATGCTGAAATCACATTGAAGATATACAGCGGAATGGATTGGGACGATAAGAATATTATAG